TGTAGCTCTCTACATTCTAAAACTTTTGACGTTGTCAAGTGCCAAATTCTTAGAATTTCGCCATCCCTAAATTTTCTTGTTCGATGCCTCTTTAAATTCTAAGAATTTTTCAGCCATTAATCTACCTCCTGGCCAGACGTGTTTTTCAATGCCACATATGTCACTGAAAAAGTTGAAAAATCGGAATTTTAAAAGCAAACTTCCTACTTTTCATCAAATAAATTTTATCGATTAGCAGTGCTATGGAAGCATTAAAACATTTATGTAATAAAATACACAAATACTTCAGAAACATTTTTTTCTCTCTACTGAAGAAAGGCCTGTCTCTGACTACTGCGAATTTTTAAGTTTTATCCAAAATCTACGTCAAAGCGTTTTTTTTTTTTTTTTTTTTGGCCTAATATTAAATTTTACATTGGCATGTTTCCTGGTCCCTGCTTGATGGTGACAAGATTTATTCAAAACTTACTGTTCTTTTTTTTATTTTAAAACAAACAATTTAAATGGAAATCCTCAGCTTGCTTTTATTTATTTAAATAATAACATTTGATAATGTGAATTGAGATCAAGAAGTAATTTGCGTATTTGAACCCAAAAAAATTTTAAACACCAATTTTGAAGCTTTTGTTTTGGTTTGCTTTATTTTTCCTTCAAAGCACGCGAGAGCTATCTGCCTAAAGGGAGGAATGCCTCCGTGGAGGACATTCTAAGAAAAACTTACTCTCGCCCACATTATGCACAGAGAAAACCACAAAAATTCCACTTTGAAAAGGTAAAAGTGTATAATTTTTTAGAGCGAGATTTTCCTAACAATGATTTTAGCAATTTAATACAAGTGCTATATTAATTAAGAATTAAAACAATGTTCTTTTGGTGATTTACGTAAGGTAACTCCTTCTGTCAAAATAATCATATGAAATGCACCGAATTTCAGTACCATGTAATTTAGTTCGGAAACGAGAGGTATCTGTGACTTGTCTATATGTAAAAATTTTTAATAAGGTTATTATAACTGAAATTTGTTTCAAAATATTCAATATTTCATAACTTCTATCAACCATAAATGCGATAAAGGTAAACTCCCCTTTTATAAATATGAAACAAGATAAACGAAAAATTTGTGGGTAAAATGAATTACAACATTATGTCAATATGACTGACACTGAGCATTGCGTTTGTTATTTTAAATAGTAATTAATTATCAATTACATGTAGCTTTCAATAGGAATTAGGTATTTTAAGCCTCTATAAATTTTTTCTTAGCGTTAAAGCTCGATAACATGAATCAAAAGCAGAAAATTAGTTAAACTACACTGTCTCACTAGTCGTAAGATTATATTACTGAAATATGCATATAAAAAAACAAATTAACATTCTATAAACGTACATTAAAATACCGAAACACAATAAAAATCAATAACATTATACTTAAAAAGCAACAAAGCCGGGCTCATGTGAATCACTAGAAGAGGCGCCAAATTGGCTATACGAATTCGAAATTACTTTAATTATTAGAGGGAATAGGCTTCGTCAAACTTAAATCAATAAACAAACCAAAAAATTGCAAGAAAACCTGAAATTAATGCAATATGCATTTCAGTGTTATTTCTTATTTATCAAAAACGAATTTTTTAATGTTTTCATTTGAAAATTATAAATAATTGGCTACATTATTTCTCTGAATTTATAAAACTACGATTAAAAAATACTTAGAATTATGGTATAATTATGCTATAAGAGTTATGACATTTTGATTTAATACAATTACTTTGCTTAATACAAGTGTAGCTATTTTTATATTTATATGGACGCGCATTGACCTTTCTGCCTCAGGCAAAAAATTATCTTGCACGGCTCTGATAAGGGCACGGCAATTAAGATTAGAAATATGCACAAAATTAGTAACAAGGCAATACAAAACTTCCTTTTCTGTTTTGGATTTCCAGAAAAAAATATCTTTTTTCGTCTAACCAAAGCATGGACACAAAACGTGTTCCTTCCTCCGTAAGCGTAATGGCAGACCGCACATTGAGTTGAACAGTGTTAAACGAATGTCGCATACTGCGCATGCCCAGAAAACAATTTGGCGTAATTACTATGTTGGCGCGATTTGAAAAGTAGATAAATACGGTATATGGTAGATGTACCGCCATCTGATTGTAAACAAATCTGGCGTTTAAATCTTCGTAGAGTATAATGTAAATGTAAATTAATTACTGTGTTAAAATACTATTTTTTGCTGTACTGCTCAAAACACTAGAAGGTTGAAATTATTGCGAAGTAATGTGAAGCAGTGTTTGCATTCAAAATGTGAGATGTAATACTTATGAAATTCTGCACATTTCCTTTGGAACTGTGCAAATTTTCATTCAGAAAAAGACTGAAATTTAGGCTATTTTAGTTAAAAATTTATTCATTATACTTTTAAGCAACAAAGACAATTCAGGATTTAACATACGTTCCATTCGTACGTACATACATACATAAAGAAACACTGAGGAATGTAAGCAAGTGCTTGTAAATAACACTGAAGAAATTTTACAATTCCTTAATGCTAGTTTATTAAATTCTTGAAATGAGAAATAAAAGCGCGAATATATGCTAACAAACTAAGCAAGATACTCCAGTTTACAATTATTGAATTATAACATGTAAACAAATTACATTTAAATAACGAATTATTACGAACATATGTTAACAAATATTAAATGCACTGTTATTGACAATTACAGTGAAATATATATTAGAAAAATAGCAAATGCAATCGGTATGGGCGTTAAAATAACTAATAAGCAAAGTTCCACAACATTACAGTTGTAAACATCATTCAAACACACTCGACAGCCATGGTGATCACGAATAAGCTAGCGTAGGGTTGCTTAGTCGCCAATATTTCTCCCCGCGCCAAAGGTACACCATCAAGCATGCGCAGTAAACGAAATTTGCTTAACATTGTTCAACTCAATGTGCGGTCTGCCATTACGCCCTCCGTAAGGGCAAAAGCAGCCCATCTGCTTACTCGCCTCTAGGCGGTAATCAAAGGACAGTAGGAAACCATCACTTAAGTGAAACAACTTGTTGATCGCCCTACAAGAAGGGAGGAAGAAAATCTAACAAAGGCCGTTTTCAGGACAATTTTGGTTCACACTAAATGAAAAAAAAATTGTAAACATGGTTAATTTTTACTGCAGTTTTCGAGACGTAAATAGATTTGAATGCAAGCCGCCCGGTGGGTTAAGTAAGCTTTGATAACACAGATGAGTGAAAAGCTTAACTAAAAGTTTTACTATAATACTCCTCCTAATTTATAACTTAAAAGAATATTCACCATTACCTGTGAGGTTTCAAGAACTCAAGTATCTAAATTGATAAAATATACTCTAGTCTCAGATCAAATAGTATTCTAACCCTATCCTATGAAAGTTAAAAATTAATGACAACCTTAAATGACAACTTTGCTTGATATTTAAACTTATTCTAATTTGACTTCTTATGAAAATTAATAGGTGAAACAGAAGGTACAAAAAAAAAAAAGAATTACCATAAAAATAACGTGCTGTACTAAAATAAACCTTTAACACAACTAAGTACAATATGAACTTGCAAGATACAGAACTCTGATACAGGTTATCTTACCTCTATATAAAATTACCATTCAAACTCTACGATATAGTTTTATATTACCCTTTCTTATAAAACTACCTCCTTTAATTATAGTTTTGTATCAAAACAGTGTTAAACAGAAGTGATCCATCTCATTACATGGAATTCTAAGCTAATAAATAAACAATGTCTGGTTGATGCTAGTTCTCACATTTGAACATATCAAACTCACTTTTTCAGAAATATTTCCTAGAAGTTCTGATATATAGCTGTTGTCCATAAACATACAAAAGGTCTATCCAAACATTCCATGCAGTATTTTAAAATAACCAGACAGCTCATTCAAAACTTCTTTGGTTCTAGTATTCCACTGCTACCAATAACTACACAAATGTATCCAAATACTTTTAAAACTACACAATGAGATTTTCTGAAACTAGTAAAATTCAATTTATTTGGAGCTGTTTCACACAAAAAGCTTAATAAAGATATTATGACACAGGCAAACTATGGCAAATTTTCGTACACAAATATTTTCCTGCACTCTCAACATATGTTTATTTCAGCAAATATTCACCACTATGTATTGATCTTTATGCTACTTACTGATCAGATCTATACCTATGAAAAACTATATTTATCAGCCATAGTTCTCATGGCAAACAAAATCATTTGCCCAGAATACATTTCTGGAGAAAGGATTTGAGTCACTCTCTCTAAGTCTAGAACGCCTCTTTTATTGAAATTTATTGAAATTAAAATAAATCCAAGACTATATTCAAATTTTACCACTTTCACAGCAAAGTCACTGGAAACGCCTGAGCATTCAGTCATCGGCAGGTCACCCGTGTACCTGAGTCAATTATCATCCGTTTCTTTTCCTCATCACATTAGTATATGACTGGTTTCACATAATTGCTTCAAACGTTAGTGCATAATTGGCTCTTTGATTTCGTGAGTTAAATGGCATGGCAATCATTCTTTTGAAGTGACTAAAACCAGCTCTGTTAATTGAATGCACCATCCTCTCCTTTGTTTAGCATCAACATTTAGCTATCGATGCTCACAGCTGCAATCCTTTCTAAAGGGGAAACTGTACACAGTAGGTGGAATTGTGCAAAGATCCCCACGAGAGATGTAACTGCGTCACTTACATATGTTATTGTTAATGTTGCAGCATTCTACTTGGCATGGGGAAAGAAAATCCATTCCAATATATATAGAATATATCCATTCCAATATATATAGACTATATCCATTCCAATATATATAGAATACATCCATTCCAATATATATATAACATATCCATTCCAATGGGTATATAATATATCCATTCCAGTGTGTGTATATATATAATTATATCATTAAAAAAGTATTAAAGAATCAAAAATTCATACCACAGATGATAGACTAGGTGTTAAACAATGATACAGGTCAAAAAATAGTTGCAGGGAATTGAAATCTAAAAATGCAGGTCTCCAATTAGTGGGTATTTGCACAGTACATAAATCATCTGTTGATTCATCAGGAGATGTGCCAATAAAGTCAAAAGATATACAGTTATATGCAAGTCGCAATAAGCTGTTCATCAAATTGTGCTGAAATTCAAATATAATATAAATAAATACAAACATGTGCATATAAACATATTAATATTTTGTTATCAATACATGAGAAATAACTAAAAACGTGTGATTTAAAATGTCAAAATTTTGTTTTATAGTCATATCAATGAGTCTCCAGAAAAAGATGGAAAAGATGCTATGCTCAGTATTATCTAAAATGACTGCTCATTACAGTAACCATTCTTATGCTCTTAGAAAAGAAATTCCTGATGTTCCCCTGCATATGTGACATTTTTCCTGGGACCAACTGGACACAACCCCCGACATTCTGGCTGAGACCTGTACTTAGACTTGACTCCTGGAGTACATAATCATTCTTCACATTGCCTAGAATCCATTGATTCTTCAGTGATAGGTTCAGGCTCGGCAGGGACCATGCTAGTATTAGCTTGTCTGCAACCAGATTGTGCCAACATTACATGGTTAGATACTGAAGGTTGTCCTTGGGGTTCAGCTTTCTTTGGTCAATACTGGGAGACAGTCTACCTGTACTTCATTTAGGGTGCCACTAGCAAGAGAATAAGGGTGAAGAATATGCAATCTGGACAGTACAACATACAGATGCATTCCTTCCTTTAGAGACTGATGGACATATCAGAATTTCACTAAGAGAACAAATGGTGAATGAGATTTGATTTGGACAGTATAATATGCAAGTGTATTCCTTCCTTCAGAGACTGATGGACATACTGGAATTTCGCTAAGAGAACAAATAGTGAGGAATATTTGATTTGGACACAACAACAAGCAACTGCATTATACATCTGACTCTTTCCAAGTTTATGAAGTGGGATTATTTTATGTGCATTCTCTTACCAGGTTTATCAAGTTTGATATTTTATGTGAGTTTTCGTTCCATTATTTTCTAGTGTCTTTGTTTATATAGTTATGGTTATTTTATCTCAAGTCAACTTGTAGAAACGGTATTTAAAAATCTCTACAAATAATAAAAGAAAGAGTCTGTCATTCATTCGTAGCGCGTAAGCTAATAGACCCAGAGCTACGAAATTTAGTACATAGGTGCATCTAGACAACAGTCAGTGCACCTCGAAGCAATTTTTTAAAAATTCCGAGTCTTTTTTGTATTTTACCTTTTTTTTGATGAAATCCCATCATTTTGAATAGTTTCACTCTTTTAGAAATATTGTTTTGGCAACAGTTCTTCATTCAATGCTTTGTGTATTGGACTGCTGACACTTGGAAAAATAATTCTGTGCAGTTTTTAAATTTAATGTTTCCTTTGGATACTGGACGTTTGTCGAGAGAAGGCAATGGGAAGTTGGTTAATTTATTTATTAGGATATTTAATATTTGTATTAAGGGATATTGCTTATTTCATTGTAATTTTTTTATATGTAATACATTTTTATTAAAATTTCTGTCTCTTTTTATAAAGTTGTTCTGCAGAGTAAAATTGTGTGCAGTTTTTAAATTTAATGTTTGATGTTCCCTTTAGGCACTTTTCCAGTATATTTAAAAGCCAGATGAAGGCTGGCCGTGTAGCTACTAGTTTTAAATATAGAAAACTGGTTTGTGCCTAGGTAAACTTAAAAATTTATTCAAGAAAAGAGAATTCAGTTACTTATAATTTCTTGTCAGTCAATGAAAATGCTTTGTAAGGCTAAGCATTGATTGATATTCTGTTGAAACATTTGAATATGCGAGATTTTAAGCGTTAAATTCAAATGAAGTTAAGAAAAGCCAATAAAGTATCAAACAAAATATTGCACACTAATGTATTATGTTTAAATTGGTAATTCCCCCCCCTTATGAATTTTGCTTGTAGTAGAAATGATTGGAAATGTCATTTAACCCATTTGATGTAGGGATAGTCTCACCAGCTATCTTAATCTGTGTTGATCCATCATTAATAAATGTGTTTTAATTATAAATTTCTGTTTAGGTTCATTTTAGTGGTCTGTTCATGTCCTCTGTGTGATTCTTATGGAAAACATGGATTGTAAACGAACCTGTGTGATTTTATTTAGTGGGTCTAGTGGGGAAATTAATTTTATATGTATCAGAACTATACAATCAGTTTATTAATTTTATTTGAAATGGTGACTGAATTCTTACTTCTGTGGTTAATCTTTCCCTGATGTTTTGAGGTATCATGTGGCTATCTCTTGAGTTTAGGAATTATAGCATTGAGATAAATGCATTTTCAGGAAAGAAACACGCTGTAGTTTTACTTTAAAAAGAGATAGTATTTGTAGAATTAGATAATGAATTGCATTTTTTTAAATAAATAATCTTTTGATTTCATACCAAAACACCACAGAGGATAGTATTGACATAAGTATATATATATATATATATATAGTATTGTATTGTATTGACTCTAAGTATTGACTGAAAAATACTGGACGCCAAGAAGTTATCCAAAAGGGACGAAAACCCTTTAACTCCTTGGCGTTATCCGAAAGGAAAGCTTTGAAGTAATATAATTTATTTTACAAAGTTGATAGTTTATGTGATTTAGTTTAACTGCAATCACCAGTCTCAAGATTTCAGACAGAATAGATATTTATTTTAATTTATATGTCTGGCACCAGTTGTCTCAGTGTTCTCAGTGATTCAACAACAAGGTTCAAATTAAATATTCAACTTTTTTTTTTTTTTTTTTTTTTTTTTTTTTTGTACTTAACACTATTTCAGTTGATTCAGTTGGGTTGTCATCACAACACTCTTACAGCATAGCGGTTAGTAGATGAGATTCTGTACCCTGCAAAGCTGCTCTGCACCCGAACTTAGGATAATCTACTTGTCTTTGTCCTTCTCCAACACTTCTCTAATCAACGCAATAACCAGATTTCTCTCAAACAGCACATGTGTGGGTTCCGAGGAGCAGAGGCCTCTCTGATCATCCCTGGATCACTCCAATCTAACTTACCAACTGGAAGATGTATGGCAAGCAATCTTGGAGGAGGACATCTGGCAACTCCAAGAGTTGACTCCCAAACAGATTACAGCTTGCTTCAAGGCCAGAGGTGGGCCAATACAATTTTTTTCCTTGTAGCTGTATTACCTAAATAAAGCATTCAATCCCCATGATACTGTTAGTGTTTCATCTTCAGAACATTTGTATCACTACTGTTTTTCATCCCTTTCAGATAACTCCTTGGCACATCGCTTTTAATGTTATAGAGTGTGTGCATATACCAGGTGGCCATAATTAAACTGACAGTCCTCACAGTGTTCTGTAGAGCAATTTATTTGCGAGACCGACGCCACATTTTGTAGGAAGATTAAACAAGACGGGGAGGACGAAGGATTCTGCGAAAAAAACAAATTAGTTCCAAAAGTCACCGCTAGGGGAATATTTGGCGCTGTGTAATAGAAAATAGAGTGTTCACAAATGCAAATCAATATGGAAATTACCTTTTATTTTGCATTCAAAAGAGGTTCAATGTGGCTGCCATTGTTGTGGACAACATATTGCATTCTGCGCACAGTATGCACAACAGCAGAAAGTAACATGTCTGCAGGAATCTCCCGTACAATCCGTGATATGTTATCCTTCACACGTAGCCAGGTCCTGGACCACTCCTTGATAGACCTTGGACTTAAGGTAACCCCATAGCCAGAAGTCGCATGGGGTAAGATCAGACGACCAATGTGGCCATGCAGTTGGAAAATAGTGGCTAATGACTCTTTCTGTTGTGAATTTCTGTCGTAGCATCTGTTGCATTCGTACAGCAACGTGTTGAGGGGCTCCATCTTGCATGAAAATGATTTTCCCCGGGCATTGTCTTTGCTGAAGTGCCGGAATGACAAAGCTGTTCAACATGTGGCAATATTTCTCTCCGGTAACAGAACAGGTTTCCGGTCCTGTCCGGGTAATGTTCTCATAGAAGAATGTACCTACGATAAATTCCGCTGTGAACCCACACCAAACAGTTACCTTTGGTGAATGTAAGCGAATTGCTGTGACTGCATGTGGTGATTTGTCATCCCAAATTTGGCAGTTCTGGGTATTCACAGTTCCATTCAGGTAAAACTGGGCCTCGTCTCCCCATAAGATTTTCCATGGCAGCATCATCCACCTCCATTCTGGCAAGAAACGTGAGAGCAAAAGTCAATCGCTTATCATGGTCGGGGTACAGTAACTCCTGTACACGACTGATCTTGTACGGATAGAAGTTGATAATCTTTCGAAGATTTTCCATATCGTACTGTAAGGCATATTCATATTCCATAAGGCATATCCATATTCCGAGCTACTCCATGAGCACTAGAGATGGCAGCAATATTGTCTGGTCCTCTGTCGACAATTGCCGTGGCAACTGCTTCGATTGTATCCTGTGGTACAGGTTTTCGTCCTCTGCCTGAACCTTCAGAGAACCTGTTTTCTCAAGCGTCACAACCATTGCTTTTAGCCCATTAACTGATACAGGACCGATACCTTTACGCATTTTTTTGTGCGTTCTAAAAGCACAAAGAGCGACTGACACGTTGCACTGGTTGAGGTAAAAGAATTTGACCAGTAATGCATGCTCGACTAAAGAAGGAGACGTTGCACATAAACTTTCAATCCGATTGATTCGAAACGTAACACATTGCCTTTTAAAACCCAAGCAGCTGGCACTGTGCGAATGGATGTAAAGTGGAATTTGAATAAAGAACTTCTTCTGCTTAGCGTACGTGATATTGCAGATCACGAGACTTTATCGGTGTTTATGTAGATTGTACGCTTTTTTAAAAGTGTTGCCATATTGCACTTGAACTAAATCAGAAAATGTGCTAATAAAGGTAATTTTATTCCGTATTAATTTGCATTTGTTAACACTCTATTTTCTATTACACAGCGCCAAATATTCCCCTAGCGGTGACTTTGGGAACTAATTTGTTTTTTCGCGGAATCCTTGGTCTCCCCCCCCCTTTTGTTTAATCTTCCTACAAAATGTGGCGTCATTCTCGCAAATAGATCGCGCTACAGAACACTGTGGGCACTGTCAGTTTAATTATGGCCACCCGGTATATAGTGCATGCAGTGTTGTAGCATGTATATATATAGATAGAAAATAAAGTAATTCCAAAAGCTTATCATGTCTACATGAAGAGGCATATCATGAAGCTTCTCATGTCTAAAATAAAATTCTGGGGTTCTGGGCTGAGAGACTATGCTTTCACATTCTACACAGAAAAAGAATTTGCACAAATCAAGTACTTCAAATTATCATTTTATAAAATACCATACTGAAATATTATTCTCAAGCTATAATATTGATGCATATTATTACATATTTTCATGCTAAATATATTTACAATAAAATTGCCTTCATTGAAAGCATTTGCATAGTACAACATACCTCAGCTTCATCTTTAAAAGTTGGTGTTTTCCAACTTTCTAAAGCTCCTCGCAAATAATCACAAGCTAATCGAAATATATCATACAACTCTGTGTCTCTAAAGGATGTTGCAGCTTTACGCTGTTTTGTCAATGATTTATTGGCTTCAGCCTAAACACAAAATAATTTATAAAGATATAAAAATGTCCAAAACAACTACAAAAAAAATGCAGAGGTAAATGAAATACATTCATATTTTAGTTATGCTGCATGAATGTTACAACTGACAATTACAAATATATATACATAGCTAAAATAAATTTTAATGTAAAATTTCCAAAAGGTTTAAGAAAAAGCTATAAACCTACTTCAGTTATTTGGTTGATCTCACATGTAACTTGAGAAAGCAATTGAACACCTATGGAACAATACTCCACAGAGCCCTAAAAAAATTGTGGAGTGTCTAGATTAAAAGAAAGCTGTAAAATCAAACAATATGATGAGCAATTTTTACACATAGATACTCATTACATTATTTGGGTGAATATGCATAGTTTGAGGCAAATGAAGGTATTTCTTTTAGCTCTTATTTCAATGTCCAAAAATTTCCCAGTGCTTCAATGGTGGGTAACTGTGTATAATTCTAAAATTTGTGTAATGAATAAATATGCCCTATACCAGCAATTCTCAATCAGTGGTATGCAAAGAAATAAAGTATTTTTAACTATTAAATTCAAAAATTAAATACTCCAACATTCTATTTAAGTTTCTTTCTCTAACACTCATAAATGTATGCGACCTGAGCTTCGTTCAAAGTCAATAGCAGCTTATAGACTTTAGAAAAATAATAAGTTTTTATTTTCACAAATATTCTAGCCATATACATACAAAATTTGTTATAAATGATGTTTTTAAAAAGAGGAATAGAAATGGTTGTTGTACTTAATAAGAAATAAAAATGAGTCCTATAAAAAGACAACATAGTACGAAGTCCGTAATCCGGACTCGTCGATTTGACTTCGGCGATTCCGGATTATAGATCATCAATTTAAATCTGGTAAGATGGCATTGAATAATGTTAGAATTATAATAATGCAGAAATTATACAATTAAAAATATGAAACTGTAATTTATGAAATAAAAAGCAATTATGATCGAAAGGGTATCAAAATTTACAAAAAAAAATAAAGCATAATAATTATTTGTTTACTTTATTAAGCATTTCTTTCAATGTAACTTTCTTCACTATCAGAAGCGCGCATGGGTAAATGTTTTACTGGCTTTACGCACACGCATAAACGCATTACACACATGATTAAGTTTGTGGCTATGAGGTCCGGATTATAGATCATTCCAGATAATGGACGTCCGGATTACGGACTTTGTACTGTAGTATCTCATTAATTCTTTTAGAGTTGATCAGTTTATTAGCTACACTTTATGTCTACACTTCAACAGTTTATGTCTACTCTTTATTCGCCACCATTTCTGCGCTCATATTGCTCTACTTTCAATCAGAATAATTTTTTCGTAAATTTGCTGTCTCTAACATCACATATTTTGTCTTCTTGTTGCTTTGTATTCCTTAATTTTCTATGCGATTTGAGACTATTGTCATTAGTTTTTTAAGAATTCATAATATATTCTGCATTTAAATATTTGAGAAAAAATAATAAAACTAACCTAGACTTTCAAAATGGAAAAAAGGCTAGGATTGACTGAGTGGAAAAGTGATGATTCACAGGAGATGCATCCAGGACAATCTACTAGCACTATGAATATTGAAAAGAAAAATTGTTTATAGAAAATATGAGTTATTTATCCTTTGGGTTTACTTGAAATGGACCTTCAACCTCAGTATGTTGTTTGCGGTGAACAATTATCTAATCAAAGTATTACACCATCGTTTCTTAAAAGATACCCTGAATTTAAGCATGCTAATTTAAAGGATAAATCTGAAGAATATTTTAAGAAATTACTGGAGTTCAAAAACAGCAAACAAGTAATGAAAGGTTTTGTTACTTCAAAAAAAAAAGGCTCTGGAAGCTAGTTAGATAATAAGTTACCCAAGAATTGCCAAGACTGGGGCAGGCTCACGCTATTGGAGAAAACCTTATATTACCAGCAGCTAAAGATATCGTTTTAACATTAGTCAATGAAAAAGTGTACACACTGTATTTTCATAAAATTGAATTCATAAAATGGCAAATTCTAAAAAAGACACTTATTCAAAATATAACACACTGAGTATTTCACATTGCAACTGAATGAAAGTACTGACATAACGAACTTTGTTCAATTACTAGTTTACATATGTTTCAAAGAAGATAAACGAATTATAGAAGAGTATTTATTTTGTAAATCTCTTCATGATAGAGCAATTGAAAATGAAATTTTCAAAGTAATTGACTATTTTAAGTCTGAGAATGATATTCTTTGGAGAATATCATTCTCAGTATGCATTGCAGTATGCATTGACTGAGCTCAGGCTCTGTCAAGATGGTGGAAAACATTCTGGTGTTATTTCTCAAATAAAGAAAGTCACACTTGAAACTAAATTTACTACTGCTCCATTCAGCAAGCTTTAATAGGAAAAAAAATCCATGAAATCCTGAAAATCGTTTTGAATCAAGCTGTAAAAATTGTTATTTATATTAAAAGGCGAACTTTAAATTAAAAAATATTTGCGATTTTATGCCAAGAGATGGGCAGTGAAAAAGAAATGCTTTTGTTACATCCCAAAGCAAGGTGGTTATCCAGAGGCAAGCAAAGTGTTCAATCACCGTTTTGAACTTCAAACAGAAATTCAAATTTTCCTCTGTCATTCAAAATCTGAATTGCAAAAAATGTTTATTTAGTGAATTATGTTTGGCTTATTTAGAATATTTAGTTGGTATTTTTGAGTGAATTACATTTAGGATTACAAGGACAAAGTTTTAATTGGTTTACCATTAGAGATAAATGTAATAATAAAAACTCGAGCTCATAATCAAAGAACTGAATAATAATATTTCAAGCTTTTTACCACTTTTAGAAAATTTTCTAACCAAAATTAATTTGAAAATAAAAGAATCCAACATTAAAATTCATTATTTTCCATTGATAAATAATTTCAAAATTGGATGTAATAAATAATTTCAACATTGTATTATGTATTTTCCCCAGGATTATGAAAAAGAAAATTGGATTAAAAATGCATTTTGTTGAAATTTTATCTCGTGAAGAAAAGTAACAATTTCAATAGAAATTTCCCGTGATCGAACTCTAACTGAAGATTTCAATAACACACTTTTTAACTTTTGGCTTTTTTAACCGAAAAAAAAAAATTTAAAGGCAATAAAGCTATTAAATTTGTATGGCCTTTCAGAACAACCTATTTATGTGAACAAAGATATTCCTCCACATTATACAGTCAAAAGTCGTTAATCCGGACTTATCGGGACTTCGGCAAGGATTTTTCCGGATTATAGATCATCAGTTTAAATCTGTTAAAATGCCATGCAGAAATTCTAAAATTAAAAATATGAAACCGTAATTTATGAAATTAAGAACAATTATGATCTAAAGGGTATCAAAATTTACAAAAAAAAAAAAAAGCTTAATATTTATTTGTTTACTTTATTAAACATTTCTTTCAATGTAAGTTGTTTAAGTTGCTTCCTTTCATGTGATAATACTTTCTCTTTAATTCTATAAACAGACATAATTTCTTGTTCAGTTACAAAGTTCCGCTGTTCAAGTCCTATAATTGCTGTGTCGAGAATACCGACTAATTTGTCAATCGAAATTTTTTCGTTTTCAATAACCTCTCTGTCACTTTCTTCACTATCGGAAGCGAATTATAATGACGAGGAATTTGATTTAAATCATATCAAAGACAGAGTACATCGAGATGAAATACTACATTTAGTAAGGAATTATAAGCCAAATAAAATAAAAACATCTGCCCTGAAGATAAGGATAGTGCTGACAGATCAACTTCCAATTCATTGCGCGCCGCTGTTTCCCTCTTCCCGCAGAGCAGCGTGAAATTGATAAACATATTTCGGAATGATTAGATAATCAAAGGATATGCCTTTATCCATTTTTGCAGCAATTCCACTTTTGTTTAATGACTTCGAAACATACTTTCGCTTGTAGATCCTTTACATATTAGTAAATATATATCGGAATTCTATTTGACATAATCGAAAGTTCAAGCTTACTTTTATAAAATTGCTCTAACAGTCTGCAAAAAATATAAGCCGGATCCATTCGAAGATTAAGGAACAACGCAATATGCAACATTAACTGAATTACATAATTTTACCTTAGCTTATACCGTCCGTTATAATTAAATGCGCATGCGTAAACGTATTATGCGCATGCACACATGCATATTCGCAGGCGTAAAGGTCTTACGCGCACGCGTAAACGCCTATAACTTTCTGCGCATGCGTCACGCGTCAATGCGACGCATGCGCAGAAAGTTTGTAGCTTTGAGGTCCGGATTATAGATTATTCCGGATTATGGGTGTCCGAATTAACGACTTTTGACTGTATTTGAAAAATAAATAGAGAACAAAATTAAAAGTAGAACCTAATTCATGATTAAAACTAAATGAAATAAGACCAGACATACAGAAATTTATCTCTCTTAAACAGGTCCAAATTTCACAGTAAATTTTAGAACTAAAGTATTATAACTTAAATTTTGATAATTAAAATGGCAACGAATTTTTAATCTAATATTTTTTTATGTGTGCACATTTAATGCACATAGGTTGTGCAACGGAAATATATATTAGTCAAAAGGTTGAGAACCGCTGCCCTATACTATTTCTTTTTCACACTAGTTCCAGTCTAAAACTTTCCAGAATTTAAGTATTCCGTTTTTAACAAATCACTCAGCGTATCATGCCCTTTCATGTTACACATAAGCTATAAGCTCATTTTGGGTATACTTTGTTTCAGGGAAATATCTTCAGCTCAAGAAAAACGGAATACTGTCATTTGTAATATGAAGTACAGTACAAAGTCCATTATCCAGAATCATCTATAATCCGGACCTCAAAGCGACAAACTTTTTTGTATGCTTTACACATGCGCGTAATGTGTTTACGCATGCACATGTGCGTTGGGAGGATGTGTCTCCAGATACATTAAAAAATGCTTGGCATAATTTATGGCCAGCTACCATATTTCATGGTGAGGACGATGAAGATGATAGCCGCAAATTTGAAGGTTTTCAGACATCGCAAACTAAAGGTGAAATTTTCCAGTTATTAGATTTTGTAAAGAAATGTGGAGAACCGGCAATAAATGAAGATGATATAACAGAATATTTTCATAGATACAACAATGCCCAATCATCATCAACTAAATGGACAGCGAAATCTGTAGTATGGTTCTAATCCAGAAATACCGTAAAGAAAGTGACAGAATATTGAAACGAAAAAAATTT